TCGGTCCTTCTCTCTCGCCGCGCCGGCACGTATAGGAGAGACGTGAGGCGAACCGTCGACACGGCGCGCGGCGCGACGCTTTATCTTGAGAGAGTGGGAAAAAAAAAGGGAAAAAGAGGAAGTCATTATACTCCTTTCTACCTTATTCGATTTCTTCGCGAATCTGGATGACGTGATCACTCCCCCCCTCCCCCCTCTGCCGTTTGCGAATTTGCTCGTTTCCGCGTCGCGTGCTTGTTTGTCGTAAGAGTTCAGTGAGTAAATTATCGTGTGTATAGAGGTTGTAGGTGCAACGCGCACACGAGGAAGTATTATTCGCGTCCCACACATTCGGTCGTTATTATTGTGACTCCGCGCAGCAACCTCTCTCTCTCTCTTTCTCTCTTTCTCTGCTTCTCGGACGGAGTTTAGCTCTCGTGTGTTTTGTAAATTACACCGAGCCGTACGAGGAAGCGTACAGCGGCGCCGAGGTATATATTATTATACATATATATTGTATATATACGACGAGCGTAAACTCGCGGCTTCTATCCGATCCGGGAAACACCCTGATCTTTAGCATCAAATGGTCATATTTCTTCCGTCGCAATCGCGTGAAAGGCAAAAGCAGAGGCTATCTCTTTGCATCTTCTCTTTCTCGCGCGCGCGCGCGCGCTTTTCAATACGCGGCGAATCAATCCGCACAACCGGCCCGAGATGACGACGGTGTCGCGGCCGCGCGGATATTGCGACCATCGCGGCGCCACGCGATTAATATACGATTATCATAAATTCTAATCGGAAAACACCGTGAAATTTAAATATCAAACGGCGCGTGATGTTTACCGAGACCGCGGGGAGAAAGGTGCCGACTTTTTCCCGCCGCCGCGCCGCGCCGCGCCGAGAGGAGAGCCGGCGGGCTTATCGTATTTGCATTAACGACCATCCGGCGTGAATTAATGGCTGATTATGCGGCATTCCTGAATGCATTTACCGCAGCCGCGTGCACCCGTAACGTGCCGTATTCATTTAAATAGCGGCACAAGTAGCGTTTTTTTTCTCTTCGGGTGGCGCACAGACGTATGTACGTCTAATTTAAATCCGCGCGGTGCCCACACCGCGTTCTCGGTATATAGCGCGTAAACCCACATATGTCCGTAGGTATGTTAAGCGCCGCGCCGCCGCGCGCCGCCGCCGCCGCCGCCGCTGATCCGGACGTTTTACGGCCGCACGTACGCATGTCGTTAAACGACGGGAATGTTGGCGCCGTCGCATGACCGCGCGCGCGGAGGTGGTATATACTAACGTATAGCTCCGCTCCGGGAAATAATGCAGCGCGAGCAGTCTGCGGCGCGCGAAAGATCGGCCAATCTGGAGTAACAAGGAGCGAGAAGCACATCTCCATCTTGTCCCATTCTCGCCTCGCCGCGCCGCGCCTCGTTTCGCGTCAGATAAAACGAGGTGTCTTCTCGCCCACGCCGCGTCGTCCGGAAAAAAACTCGCGCTCAGCGAAAAACGCAACTTTACAATTGTTGTAAAATTCTTTAATACGTTTGCCGCTAGTTCTCCTCACTGAATCTGTATAAATGTATAAATCAATTACGAGTATATTAAAGAATCTTACAGTAATCGCAAAGCTGTTTTTTCTGCTAAACCCTTGTTTGCAGGTTTTATGTTCTTGTATACGCCTATATACGGAATCTTCGATGACAAAATCCATTTGAGAGTTTTTTTGCAGACGCGATTATTCACTGCTTACTAAGAGATCGCGAATTTAAACCCGTCGACATCATCTAAAAGTAGCATAACGTCGATATTATCATTTCGCACTAATAAACACAATATAAATATAATACAATAAAAAACAATAATTGCATTCAAGTTTATTCAATTTATGTAAAGTGACTAGATTTATTCTAAATGATTAGAGTTTCAATAACTAGAATTTAAGTGACTAGATTTAGAGTTGTTTGAATTAAGTTGGTAATAAAACAGGATCAAAGGGATACTCGAGATTAAAACAGTAGAATGTTTACATGATCGCATGATTTTTTGTTTTTATCTTCCTCTTTTCCATGCGACCATGGTGAGCTCATCATCGCCGAACGATATTTGTAATATTTTTATTTTTTACTAAAAATTTACTAAATAATATGTAAGATCTAGAGCGATAATTGAGGTTTGAGCGATGATTGAGTAAACAGATTGTTTACTTTTGTAAATGTGTGTTATCAGATATAGTTAGTATAATTCTATATTCTTATTCAGAGTGATATGCAAAATATGTGTGATGGAAATCGTTTATTTTAGCATTAATTTATTGTTTAAAGATATTTGTATTAAAGTCGGTTAAAATAAACTTGATATTGTTTAAAACTAAATACGACTACTTGAAGTGAATATATAGAAACTAGTTAGGATAGTTTTTCTCTTAACATATACAACAGCGCTGAAACAAACAAAAATCATGAATTTTTCACAATGACTTGTATTTTGCTTGATAGTTATATTGTGTAAAATTATAACATCAATATTACGCTATTTCCATACCAAATATTCCAGTTGATGTCGACCGAGTATCTTCCAACGAGAAGAATCTACGGTGAGAAATCTTTTTGACGAATACGATAAAATCGCCAGAAATTACGTCCGTAAAAAGAATGCTTTATCTTTATGTATAAGCTTCGAAAAGAAAAGCTTTTCTCTCATAATTGTTTTCAATTGTTTCTTAAAACAATTGCTTTCGATATTTTGTATTTCGATAAGATCATTTCCCACGGCAAATTTCACGAATTTCAAAAGACTTTGTTTCATTCGCTCGTTTTCTGCGTATAACTTGCGGAAATTGAAATAGCACACGAAAATGTCTTGAAATTGTAGAGAAACAGTGTAGTATGTATGTTATTTGAAGAAAAAAATCTATGGCACAGAAAAAGAATTAAACATTAAGCAGTAAGTAAATCAATATTTTTTGCATCTTACATTATTACCTTATGTTCTCTATTGTGATTAGTCGATTTGTTTACTGCATACGTCTTTTAGCCGTAAAATTATATTTTCTTCTTTGCTTGTTATCTGTTTGTTTCTTGAATATACTATACGAGGATCGTCTGAAAAGTGTTGAGCCTAACATAGAAATAAGTAATAGTATGGAGAGTGCCATAATGAAAAATATAAAATTGAATTTGACCGAGAATGAGGCTCAAAACTTTTCAGATGTCCTATGTATATGTTTCCTATTTTTCTCTATTTCCAACGCATTGAGGAAATAAAGAATATATGTGATTAGATACTATATTTATATACTAATGGTAAATTACAAAGACAAATTAAGAGTCAGAAATTTAAAAAAAATTTTTTCTTTTTAATGAAGTAGTCAAACCGTAAAATAAATATCAAATCGTCAATAAACGTAAAAAACATAGAATTAAAAAATAACTTAACAATATCGCAAATCTTCAAATCAATAACTTGACATGTTTCGACTCGTGGATTGAGTCTTCTTCAGAAGTAAAGCCAAAAACCGTAGTGCAGTTAACAGAATCATTAATATTCAAAGATGAATCCATTTTCAAAGTAAGAAATTTATTAAAATCGATTGGTAGATCGGAAAAAAATAAATCTGTGAAAGAATCAAGCCTTTTCATTATATTTATATACTTTCAAGTGAATAAATTATCTATTTTCTATTTTCTCAAAAAGTTTATACAAAAATTAACAGACGTTTGCTTTAGACGTGTCTTCTACATTTCTCTTTTCCTTTCGAATATTATTTATACATTAAATATAGATATTATATTGTGTGTGTGTGTGAGATGTTTTTTTTTTTTCCAGCAAAAGGTACAAATATGATACAGTGAATCTTTGTCGTTTGCCACTGTTGAAACAAAAATCATATACCAATGGACGCACAAGGTACTGTCATAATCAATTTTTGTTGTTGTCCTAAAATTCGTGTGAAGAAAACAAACGTCTAGAAACAAGAAAATTTCAACATGATCTCCTTTGTTGAGATAAAGTAATTTAATCTAATTCAGTTGTCGATTAATTCGATAGATTATGTTGAATAAGCTGATATTGAGATTATGTTTAGCTACAATACATTCGTAATGCATGAATTTCTTCTGTTATATATTTTTTTTTTTTTATACTCTGCTCACTCTCTTCTGATCTGTCGTACGTTGCGGATGTAAGGCCTTACATATTATATTATATATTTGTATTAACGCTTATTATTATCATGATCTGTAAGGATGGTCGTAATAGATAAGTTTAATTAATAACTTAAATTAAGTGCCTTGATACGCGTATATCTGTATATATAGAATCTCGATTTAATAACTTATTAAACAGGCGTATAAGGTAGGCTTCCACTACAATGCCTTACTGATGAGTCCAGTAGTGGGACGAAACGCCATAATTACGTGATATTCTTCGCAATATATTAGATTGATTTAAAGATTAACGAAAATTGGTTCATTGCCCTTATCTCAATATATTAGTTGTTTAATACATATTGAGCCTTTTCACAAAACATTTAATAACTTAAATTATTCTATGTAATATGTTAATCGATGTGAGCAATTAATAATTCTATTTTTCTCTCTTAAGATATTTGTCTCTTTTGTATCATCTCGATCACAATATTAAAATATATACATGATTTAGATATAATTGTGTTTATTTATTAGTATTACTGAAAGTTGTAATACAAGATATAGACTCATAAGAGAAATATACAATTTCTTTTGTAAGATCTCAACATCCTTGCTAATCTCGACAATCCAATTTCTTACCAATACTATTCGATGGACACTATAGGTACATACCTCGTGGGTGGTAAGTGCAGAATTCTGTACTATCTGCCGAGATCTCGGCGTAGGCTGTTAGTTCGGTTGAGCGACGTGCGATAGCGCGAGGTGTCGCGCAAACCCACGCGAACGTCGCAAACGTCGCGGCGCGGCGCCCGCGTCCGCGCTGCATGCGCGCCCCGTGTAATTCCCGTAATTTACGGAGGGACGTGACTACGACAATGCCGTCGTGTCGTGCCTGACGACGATGAAGTAACGCTTTTTCGCGTGCGTAACAGTTCGTTCGACCGACAGAAAGTTATGCGCGGCATTATTGTGATGTGTCCGTGTAGTATTATCGACAGTCAAGTACTCGCTCTACTCTGCAGATGTTTTTCGGTGAGTTGCTCCGCGCTCCTGTCTTCCCTTCCTCACTCTCTCTCTCTCTCTCTCTCTCTCTCTGTGCTGGTTTCTGCCTAACCCCTCCTCTCGACCGCATGCCACCGCTCGAAACGGCGAATCGCGAGCCACCGCGAGCGCGACTCGCTGCAAACGAAAGTACAGTATTTCTCGCACGACGACTGCCTGGAAGAGAAACGAAACGTCTTCGTCGTCAACGATCGATAGTCCACGAACGTTAAAGCGAAAATTTTGTCTCTTCCTTGCTTTCCCTCTTTTATGTAATTATATCTGTCCCTCTCGAGGAACCTGATATTACAATCCCGACCTTCTAACGCAGCCCGATAAAAAGTTCGTTCTCGTCTCGTCACGTCTCGTACAATCTCATCGCCCACACACGAACACGCCTTTCCGTTTCGCGCGGCGTGGAGCGGAGCGGAGCGGCCCGTTTCTTTCATTTTGCACTTTCTGTACCTTATAGGCTGTCGCGGTCTCTCTACAACTTGAATATATGCGCGTTCCATTAGGTACGTTTCAGCTACACTTGTTACACTCTTCCTTCTGCATTCAAAATAAATTTTTAAATAACGGAGTTTTAAATATTAATTTTGAATGAGATCTCTCGGTTTGGTTCGTATAATTCTCACATTTCCTTCCCTTTCCTCTTCTCCTTCGTGTAGCCTGATTATGCGTCCGTTTTATTTTGAATACCGTACCAAAAGCGATCAGAAATATGCGATTTAAATGTACAGACCTCAACGTGATTCGCATTAATTCAAATTGGATGTTAAATAAAATAATAAATATACGAAGACCAGAAAGCGATCGCGTAACTTTTTTTTCCTAAAAAGCAGAAACATGAAAAGTAAAAATTAAATATTTACCATATCATCGACGGTGAAATTTTTCTTTTTTCATGTTTCCGCCGTAGGAAAAAAGTTATATGATTATTACCCATTCATGATTATTTTACAAAATAATTCTATATAAAATTATATCATCAAAATCATTCTATGAAAATTATATAATATATACATATATTTATGTATCTAAAAGATCCATATAGGTATACACTTTTCATTTGGTGCCACAAGTCGACACAAACATCATTTTATCTTCCTGGCGCATTCAGTGAAGTATAACAAAGGTAAAACGACACTTTTGTACCTTTGTTACTCCAGTGAATGCCAAGAAAGATAAAAATGATATTTACGTCGACTTATGTCACCAAAATGGAAAACAGCCAATGTTATCAACGCGCGAGGTTTTAAATCAACCTGTCATTTTTTTTTTTACTCAAATACTTCTTTCGATCTTATTACCAGCGGAAACAAACGGAGGGAAATGCGAGGGATATGCGAACGAGACGCGAGATCTATTTTGAATGCAGAGAGTGCAGCTTAAAACGAGGAAATACCGCGCGATCACGCATCGAGTGAGCCGGACTACACCTTACACCCTCTGTTATGGTGGTGGTAGTGGTGGTGGCCGGTGATGGCGGTGGCGGCGGCGGTAGCCGATGATGTTCGCGCACGCAAATAGGTTAGGGGAAGTGTTGGCCGCTGCCTCGTCTCTGTTTATCCGCGAAGAGTCGAAAGTCGCGTCTCGCCCGCAGCTCATCTCCAGTGCAATCGCGATGAGGGATTCGTAGCGGAGGTTAGACGCCGAGGTAATCGTCGATCGATTCCGCGCGATCGAGAGCGGGGTAATTCATTGATAAGACGTGGAGTTTAAATTTGGGTTTTTTAAACGACTCTCTTCCACGTCGATTTCCGCCGAACTTGATTACGACTACGATACGGCGAGAGACTCGCTCTTTTTTTCCTCTCTGCGCGACAGACCGGTGTCGGTTATCGTTTGGTTTTTACACTTCCGCGAAGATCTGAACCGTGCTTAAAACCTGTATGTGAACGTGTTTTGTTAAATGTGCCCATGCATTCCATTATTATGGTATCTGACAGAAGATATCCGAGATCCGCGGTGACAGAATGACGCGATGTTGTAGATAAATTTGGGATTCTCGGCAAATTGTTAATTATACATTGTGCACTTTGTGAAGTACAGGTGCCGGGTGCGTAGAACACAGCTGGCAAAATGGGCAAGTTGTTGTCAAAGATCTTTGGCAACAAGGAGATGCGTATTCTCATGCTAGGACTGGATGCGGCAGGAAAAACTAGTATCCTTTACGACTCGTAATCACGAGTCATCATTTGTAATCATATACTTATTATTATTATTCCTATGTTTATTTTACTTTTGATTTTTCTTTTGTATCGTTGAACGAGACGTTACATAATTTGGCTGTACAGTTTTACAATTGAGATAATTATACACTATATGTATTATATAATGTATGGCAATATATATAGAAATATATTTCGTCTTCCCTATAAATTTATTTCCTTAATCAAATTATATCAGCAATATTGTATAAACTTAAACTAGGACAGTCTGTGACAACTATACCAACAGTAGGATTCAATGTAGAAACAGTTACCTATAAGAATGTTAAATTTAATGTGTGGGTAAGTACGAAGCTTTTCTATAAAAGTGCAAAGAGATTCTCTAAATATTATTTTAATCTATTAATCATTTACTCTTAATTAAATTAAATCTTTCTGTTATTTTTAGGATGTAGGTGGTCAAGATAAAATACGTCCGTTATGGCGTCACTACTATACAGGGACGCAAGGACTTATTTTTGTAGTAGACTGTGCGGATCGAGATAGAATCGACGAAGCCCGTCAAGAACTTCATCGAATCATAAACGATAGGGAAATGCGTGATGCGATAATTTTAATCTTTGCTAATAAACAAGATCTTCCGGATGGTAAGTCATATTTACATTACAATATTTGTTACAATATTTTTATATTACGATATTTATTAGCTATAAATAGTAAAGTAGATATACATTGTATATATGTGCTACAGATATCTTTATATGGCTTAGCACAATATACGAATTTTTGCCTGTATTTTGTTTTTCTTTAGCAATGAAACCGCACGAAATACAAGAGAAACTGGGATTAACTAGGATACGAGATAGAAATTGGTACGTTCAGCCATCTTGTGCCACAACGGGAGACGGGCTTTACGAAGGTCTTACGTGGTTAACCAGTAATCATAAATTATGAGCAAATATTTATTTTTCACAAATTAGTTATATATACAGAGAATATACGTTTGCTTTGTATTTTTTATTTTAATTTATCATATGGAGGCTCCGTCACGACGAACAACTGACAATGATACATTTGACGACATCTTTTTTTACTAGTAAAGTTATCACAGATGCAAAGAGGAAAAAAGGAAATAATATAAAGACGACTATTAATGGTGTGTTCCAATAATATTACTACTAGGGGAATAGTAATTTATTGTAAACGAGGTACCAAGGGTTTATGCGTGACCTTTGTTACACTAGCTATTTATCCCATTTGATGGAAATACTTACTGAATAAAGTTATGCTAGCGGGTTTAATATACCGCTCTCTGTACATGTAACATATTCACACAAGTGTACTGTTTCATGTGTGAGACACACACAAATTGTACAAGTTAAAAATTACGAGAATCTAGTTATGATATTAAGCGGTTCACGGATTCACAAGGATTAGTATACTGTATAACTTACCTTTGCAGAATCATATCTAATATCTAACTGTTATTTGAGCGGAGTTGCGTTTCTTGAGCAGGAGTGCCTCAAGTTTTTAATGAAACGCAGTTAGAGATTTTTACCTTCGCGAAATACATCTCGTTGTCAAAATGCTATCTAATGTGTATTATATAATATTCATACATATAGCCCGTGAGTATAATACGTGAATAAATTTAAAATATCTGCATTGAGGCTTTATATAGTACAGCAAGAGTTTTCTGTTGGTAAACATCTTTGCTGTTTAGAGTTTTATGCCGAAAAATTACTTTTCATTTATTTTCTTTTTGTAATGTCTTCCAAACTTGTGTATGTTTTTAAATTAGTTTTTCTGTCCTATTACCGAATTGTTATGATTACGCACAAATCGCGCGGAATAAGAAATAATGCAATAAGGAGTTATCGGTTTACTGATATATTGTGAGCTCAAAAACCAAAAAAAAAAAAGAAAATATTTCAAAGAACGTAACAGCATTGAATCTGCCAATATTTTTTACTGTTTAAGTGAGTATCGGATAATAAAACATTAGTATTAGGCAACGATCAGGTCATTAAGAACAACATTTTAAACGGATGAGATCAATGTTTCCGTGATCGTTTCATTTCTCATAGCATAATCTATAGAGTAAGATTAGTAAGAATATACTTCGAGATTCATAACTGATTCATAGAAGTGTTAACAAGTGTTCACAAATTGTTTGTGTATGATTATCGAATCAAATTAAGTTACGAGTAAATAACAGTGATGATACACCTTGTAATTCGTGAATGCATTGACACCTTGTTTACATTCCATGATACATTAGTAAATTAGACTGTTAGAGAAACGTTTTAGTTGTATGAATAATCTTCTATATGGATTATAACAAGAGATTTTTCCTGACGTAAGTTTGTATAACTTCCACAGCATCCGTACCATTAATGTTAAGTATCTTACTTAAGAGATGGTGTGAGGTTGAGCGTGCATCGTCTGTATAAAAATCATAATCAGGCTTTGGAAATACGGAGCTGTTTTCCAGAGAACATTAGACCTATTACTTTGCACTCTATGGCCACCTATTGTATAACCTCGTGAACGTAATCTTTACATTTTTTAACAATGTTTCAAGTAGCGCTGTCATTATTGTGCACTCTTTCTAATCGTATGATATATATTATATAATTGTGTTATGTTTTTACCGTCAGCTTTAGCAAAAGTCATTTTCTCATTATTAAATGTGATGTTACGATGTTAATTGACGAAGTTTTATGTATATAAATATGTTTGCTATATTCCAGCTAATATCGAGCGTCTTATGTGTTCCATATATCCACACTAATATGCTATAAAAAAAAATTCAAAACGATAATAACGAATTATATATATATATACGAAAAGTTTCTCGAGGACTAATAGAAAATATTATTTCAATGACATTTTGATAAAAAGAAAAATACATAGGCAAGGAAGAGAGTCGCTCCAAGAAGACAATATAAGTTTCAGAAAGAAAATAAATTCTAAATTTTTTTATATATACACACAATGAATATATGATATTATTAGTTCATTAAATAAATTTATCAAGTAAATATAAACAGTTTCACTTCTCAACATATTAAAATATAATAAGTCAGAGAGATAATTCAGAATTATCGCTATTTTGCTTCACTAATATCCAAAGCCTGAACATAGTAAGAATTTTACAGCATTACAAAAAATCTATATGATTAGTTTGTAGGGATAATTACTGTAATTTTGTTAACACAGCGAATTACATTCACGAGTAGCAGCTTAATAAATTTCGTGTGTTTCAAGCTCAGATAAAATAATGAAAAGGCCAATAAATGAATTATAAGTCTCGAACTCTAAAATACGTAGTCTGTAAACTCAGTTCGGTAAACAAATAGGTTTGTTATGATATTATGTTGCACACTTTGTCTTGTAGAAGAAAGACATTCGTAAATATTTAGATGTGTTGTTTTTTAGGTAATCTAATATTATCAATGTTATATAGAGATCCTAAAATTTTTATTGCTCTCGAGATATGCGCTGAAGATTTTTACTCAAGATAAAAAACATACAGTAACGTGTCATCTCTTTTATTTACATATACATATATATACACGCACGCACGCATTTTTTCAATTAGAAGGAAGAATATTCAGGTGTGATTTGCCATTTAGAAAATTAACGACATTTGATAAGTACGCGACATCTTATCAGGGGCCATACAAAAAATTTTAAGGCTCATTGAAACGCTTCGGAATTTAAGGAATAATATTACATGTGAATCGATGCTGTCAGCTTACACATGGATCGACGCTATCAGCCAGAGAATTCCTAATGCACCATGATAGTGAATAGAATATTTCTGAGAACGAAATATCTGCCTTAGAAGAAAGGAAGACTTAGCGCAATAAAGGAAAAAATCAATACTGTTCTATTAATTTACATATTTATTCCTATTATTTGAATAGTATCTATATAGTATATATGTTACGCTCTTAATTATATGGCTCTCGAATGCTATATTATAAAGCTATTTACATATACTTATTCAAATAAATTCTAATTAATACTTTAGAGGAATCTTCCTTAAATCAACGAGCAATCTACGTTCTTTGGGAAGAGTAGATTGTTCATAAAGAATCTCGGGCATTAAGATAATTTCAATTAGGAGCATTTACTGGTGCAACAGGAGCTTTTTGGTTTTATGGTGTATATATGGAATATAAATATATAATAAATGCAATATATAAATAGCAATTTTTACGAAATCGGAAATCGACGAAGCTAGAAAGTATATATGTACTTGTATATTACTATCATTTGTATAATAAAAATTTCTTAAAATTGTGCATGCTGTGGTATATATACATATGTACCATACAATGAACATGTAGCAATTTCTTATGATAATAATTTGTAGGTATAAAAGCACTAAAGATTCTCTTTACAGTTTACTTTTTTTATTAGTTTATTTTAATATATATTATCCCTATTTACATAAGACTGAATCAGTAGTAAAATAAAATAAATATTGTTAAAATTTATTATTGGGGAGTCATGGTTTTACTATTTTATAATTAGTTTTGTGTAAAATGAGATATTGATCATATCATATTTGTATATATAATCTAAAAAAAAAAAAAAACATTTCTCCACCATTTTTTTTTACAAAAATAAAGTTATATAAAATAAAATTCTTAAAGTAGATAAATATTAAAATATCGATATTTTTATGACAATACCATACTTAAAATTTTTTTTTCAAATTAATGTCACAGTGCATACAGATCATACATATACATATAACTTTCATTGTAAATCAATGGCAACATGTCGAGTTCTTAGTTACCACGGTGTCACGTGTTAATACTACAATTTAATTACAAATTCACAAATGAGATTCGTATATATAACCGACAATATTCGAGAAATATCTTGGCATATTAAAAATAAACTTAAGTTCCATCGTACTAATTCGCGTGTGATCTACTATAGATTTTCTAAAATACCATGTATATGTTAAAACATTTGTAATATATACATTAGAGCTACAGTTAGTACATTGTAAAAGCATTCTTAGAATTACGAGATTCATATACAGAATACTTCATAAATATATTGAAATGTGACTTGCTTGGTTCATTATTGTGATTCTCTTGGAGATTTACATTCCATAAAATAGTTAAAACACGAATATATCTGATCAGTTTTGTAACACGTACTTAAAAAATTGTTCTCTATACTGTACAATTAACAACAAGATTATCATACCCCTGATTTTGATAAATATTTCAAGTACTTCCTATTTCAATATAATCTTGTACGGATTTATAATAAATGGTTGGATGCTATCTATTGGGTCGCTGTTCTTCCACAAGTGCTATTAATCGTTGCCGCGTTTTCTTATTATTTTGACACGTCGCCGAAATCAGACCGACTAAATGTTTAACTGAATATTCCTGCAAGACACAAGACACATTTTATATGCTAGTATTGTAGGTAAAAAATAAAAAATGTCAATATATTTATATAGTACTAGGAATATTAATAGGTACCTTGTGCTCTTTAATCCATTCTTCAAAACTATTTTCAGGAAGATAATAGGCTTTGATGTACAATTCAACGTATTCCCTATGTGGCATAGGTCTCAACGTTGTCACTTTTTCAAATTTTGACTTTAGCTGTGTGAAATCGAGTTGCATTAAAGCTCTACCACCATTCGAACATTTTTTAGCGTTGGAAAATCTAGAGTGACAAAATTACATTTCTGTTAATTGGATGTAGTTCTTTTAGAATTTCAAGTACGTTCAGAAAGATATAATCATAAATTTTCTATACCCTTCTACTAAAGTATGTGTAATTAAGTGAGCCACATTTTCCCATACTACACTGCAAATATCCGTATTTAAAGATATGTACGTTTCAATAGTGTTAAGTCTCTCATTTAAAGTGCATACTTCCTATGAAAAAAAAAATCAAATAACAATTCAATATTGTGAGTGACAAAATTTTGTTTAACAAATTTTGTTTATCACATACTTGGATTAGTGCATCAATGTAATTACTGTGTTGAGACATGACGTCCGTCACTTCCCAATTAACTTTGTTCATTAAATTTAAAATATTTGCAACGTCAAACACTTGTGATATTACTGCCATATAGACTGGCTTTCTTAAGTCTACGGCAGACGCTATCGTCTGCATATAAAACTGATGTAAAAATCCTCTCTGTGGACTGTTAGCAATGAGATGCTCTAAGTAAGGTTTTAAACCTTCGTACTGTTGTCCTAGAAATATCAGAGACTCAACAGCTACAATACGTTCCGTTAATCCGTGAAGTTTCTCGGGTTGTGACAAGTTCACAATGGATGAAAGCTGTGGTTGTCTTACTTTATCATAATTTGCATTGCCATTTTCTTCCATTGTATCATTCTCAGAGATAATCAATGTTTCTCTAATTCGAGCTAAGGATAATTTTAATTTTGGACTGTACAACGAGTCGCTATTGATTTGCTGCAAGAATAAAAACCGTATTCTAAATCAAGTTCCGGTCACGCAAGCGTAATTAAGAATCGTAACGTGAACTTACGAGATCCGACGTAAAAAATAAGTGTACTGTGTAGAAGCATAGCTCAAAAAATTGTATCATGCTCTGTATGACAGTAACCGCGATCGATCGTAAAAGCTTCGACATCTGTAGATACTTGCCGCACACTCTCAGTATGCTTAACGTCGTATTTGTAACCATAGGTCCAGATTGTTTGAGTTTGCACTTCTTTTTATTAATTTTTGTGTAATCCGGTTCGTCGACATACTCATGCTTTAATTCATCGGGAATATCCTCGTCCGAGTCGTCCGAAAAATACGCAGGTTGTTCAATCTAAATAAGATGTAAAAAATCGACAATATAAATTTATCATAATGGCAAAAATTAAAATTGTATTATTAAAATGTATTAATTTAATGATTTTCTTACATCATCGTTTACTAAAATATCTTCATCCATGGTATCATCCAATCCTATTGTGAATGGTGACAAACCGCCTTCCAGATATTTTTGTAAGTCAACTCCTGTAGAATTATCACTATCGCTTAAGGTTGAGCTATCTAGACTATTCCACGTTTTACAGTTATTGAGCGAAGGTTTCAGACTTCGAAACTCCAATAATTGAGTAGCCATGAAATTGGATTTCACAGGACACAATTCCCAACCGTCATTTTCCAGAAACATTTTCAATTCATCCAAACGAGATGCGTGATAATCAGAAAAGTAAGATAAAGACTGTTTTTTAATAGACTCCTGCAAATTCTCCGACTTGAAACCACAGAGATCTTCTCCAATTTCCATCAACCTGTAATTAATGGACAGTTTAACAGATGATTCGTTTATTTAGCAATAACTGATAATTATTGTTATATATAATATTATCAATTTGCTTACCTGTTAACTATACCCAATACCTGAACAAATTGTTCAAACTTTGTATTTGTTAAATTTGTGTTCATCAAATAAATCGATATCTTCATTTCCACATCGTGCCATACTCGGACAATACCGTTCTCTAATTTGTGTTTGACGTATTGCTTACTTAAAGTCGCTTCTAAATCCTTAGTATCGGATTTACACTCGGCTTTATCCTCTTGTACATTATGCCAATTTACAATTAAATGGTACGAATTCAGTATTGTCCACAATGATCTGCACAGTTCCGTGAGACAAGCTATACATGTCTCACGAGGCACAGCCTGACACAGTTGTTTATATTGTCTTTTTACATCACCTCCCGCGTAGCGATGGATAACGGCAAACGCCGTGTTATGAATGGCAGCAGTGAAATGCATATGCAATTGATCCATGGCAGATTGAGTCTTTCCTAACAATGTATATGCTTCCTGAATGGAAGAATACACTGCGACATCGAATTCGCTGCACATTTTAGAGAGAGTATTGTCTAAAGTTCTTTCCGCTTGCTCTAAAATATTTTGCAAATTCGTGTTCAGTTCAGCGATACAATGGAAATGTTTGTAAGTCTGAGCGGCACTCTGACATTCCAAAAGAAGCGATATGGCTCCAGGATAATTCCCTTCATTTAGAAGCTCCTGCAGACGATCTCCCGTACATTGCTACATAATAATTAAGTTTAAAATGTAAAAGACCTTCAATTTGTTTAATACGACATGAAGTTTAAATTAACTTTTTATATGGAATATCCTCTCTCTCACACACAAAATATCAAGTCTAACATTAGAACATAAAATGTCTAAAAGACGTTTCAAGTCCCAATTTTAGACTTTTAAAAATGACTTATGTACCAATTTTGGATTTTGTGTTGTCTGAGATAATCTTTTTAAAGACAAACATAAAATATAAATTGACTTACCAGGGTCTTTATGGTATTTAAACTATTTAACAGTTCTTGGATTACTTGTCGTCCACGATAGTTAGCTAATATGCCTAAACTTGCTTTGGTAAATTGTTTCTCAGCTAATTGCAGATCTGCCCTTCCTATATTACATATTTCTAAAACAGCCTCCAGTTGATCCTGTAGCAGTAAAATCTTGTCAAATTCTGCTTTACAGGCACTCTGCTTTTGCAAAATAAGTTGCAACACTTTCTTGGAGACAACTTGATGTTGCTGTTTGAGTTTCTTATAACATTTCTCAATTTCCTTAGGCTTCAATATCACTGGCAGTTTGTTTAGTTCGTAACGTGATGAATCAAAACTGCTATCGATATTGAAGTAAACATCTTCGATAGAGTCTAACACTTCCTGATCAGGTATAGGCTCACTTTCTGTTGATTGATCAGCCTCAGAGCAGAGATCTTCACATTTTTGTAAGTCAGGTGGATTAAGTAGATCTGGATTTAATCCCATAAGTGGTACTTTGGCTGCATTCTGTAAAAGATAAATAATTAAGGATTTTATCTATTGTAATAATAATACAGTCAACATGTGTGTATGTGTGTGTGTGTGTGTGTATGTGGTGTCTAAATGAAGTGTTATTTTCATTAATTTTAGTTAATAATCTGATAACATTAATAATATAGAGTCGAGACTATAAATAGATATTTTTTAAATGTGCTATTAAATAGATATACGTACGTAAAAATTACAAGTAATTTAAATCTACATGTATGATTCAATATAAATATTAAATATAGATGAATTATAATGCACATATTTAAATTAAATGTACTGTGACGTAAGTATAACTGTTATGAGAGAAACAATATAATTAAATATTAAATTGCTAAATTCTTGAAACTACTGTTTAGTCACTGATCCTCATTAAAACTAATTACGAAGATAAGAAGTGTAAGAAGTAACGCAACGTCATTTTGACAACGAAATGTCAAATTCGACTGTACACATCCATTTCCGAGTCGTCATATAACCTAACTTCTAGCAATGTAACGAACGAAGCCGCGATTATACTTGGCATATTATTGTATTCGTTTGGAATATTTGTGAATGGACTTGCCTGTTTATTAATGAGGCCGAAAAATTTAATCTTTAAATCCTCCATGATGTCGGATTGCATCGCAATCGTCAGACCAGACGCATTCTCGTCTGTTTACACGACTCCAATCGGCGCCCTGTCGCCCTGTGCCTACCGTGACATTTCTATAGAAGCGATAGAGAGGCATAATAATAAATCTCGACCACGAATATCGATAGCTTTTCGATTCTTTATAATCGCGGATTTTGATTCAAATCCGATGAGAGAACTGAAGAGAACCACCGATGGTAAATGGTTCACTCTCATTCATGCACAATGTGTGAAAACGAGTGATAATATTGTCGAGACATTCATATTACCGATAATTCCTTTTGAAGTTGGCATATTCGATTATCTCGCATTGCCTCAAACTATACACTGCGAAAACTTCAAGTTCCAATAATGGATCGGAATGCTGCTACGTTCAAGTATGCGCAAAGTTTCAAAACAAGTTTCAATACAAAATATGAGTTCTGAGTTATCCCTTTATGGAGTACAATTTTTATAATAAAAAATTAGAGGAAAGGGTAAATGTGTCGATGAGGGGACCCCCCTCCAATGACTTTGACCTTGACATATGTTGTCAAGGTCATGACCCTGAGTAACCTCCAACAGGTTTTAGCCGTCGCTCGTCCTTCGTTAAAAAGTTATTAACAATCATACTTTTAAAATAAACGTATTATTTCTGCTATACATGTATGATATGAAGTACTAATCTACACCTTTCCCTGTTCAGAAACGTTGAACTTTCCACGCGAAGTAACTTTCACCC